ATCACTGTGCTATATATAACTTGTGGTTACTGTGACCTAATGACGTTAAGAAATTGTTCACGAAGAGGAAATGAATTTCAGAATTTTTTTAAAGAGAGGGACAAATTTATGAGAAATGCATGCTTTATTGAGATAAAATTTTGATTTTCAGTCTCAGTTTTGATGTTTTCCCTTGAAACTCTGATTTGAAATTTTAAATTTACAAAGGAGAAATGTATCATTTTTCCAGCAACAAAAGATGTAAGAAAAAATACTTTATGTGGTACAAAATAATGAAATCCTTTCAGAATTATTTTTTTTCATACAGAGCCTCACTATGCAGCTCAGACTTACAGTGATTCTCCTGTCTCAGCCTCCCCAGCACGGAGATAACAGGTGTGTGCCACCACGCCTGGTCTCCTTGATTGGGGCAGGGCTCCGGGGGATAGGGCCAACGTGGCATGGGGTGTGCTTGGGATTCCAGGGCCTGCACAGCCTGCTTTACCAGGGATTGAATGTGGATCCTTGCACTTGCCAGGCAGGCACTTAGACCACCAAGCTATCTCCCTGGCCCCCTCTGAGAATTCCTTATTACTGAATAATAACAATATTCTTGTACTCTGGACTCAGTGATGCTTCCTGTTGTTTTTTTAGAGTGAATATGAACAAAGGTTTAACTAACTTTTTTTTTTTTTTGAGACAGGCTCTCACTATATAGTCAAGGCTGGCCTCAAACTCTTGGCAATCCTCCTGCCTCAGCCTCCTGAGTGCTGGGATTATAGGCATGCACCACCACACCTATCTGTCTCTTAATATTCTGAACCACTCTTTTATCCAACAACTGATTAGTATTAATTTTAGGAGTCCATCTCAGCAAGATATATGTTTCCTATAAACAAGACCAAGGATTGTATAAGAGATATGTAAAATATAAATACATCTGAAGAAAACAAATTAAGTTCATCCTCAAAGGTTAACCCTGTCAAGTCACAAAGTAGTCATTTCACAACCCTTGAGCTGCCTTTCCACATGTTGTATATAGGAGTATTTTTATTTCAATAACGTGAAGAAAATGAAACTCACAGGTAAGCATGTCTGAAGTGAAGGGGAGTACTTTGAGTGGAACAATGGCATATCATATAATACAATTTTTACAAATCATTTATTGATTTATTTTTTTGGTCTGGGGTCTCGCTGCACAGCGCTGACTGATAGTGATCCTCCAGTGCTGCGATTCCAGGTGTGTGCCACCATTCCCAATTTTGGTAGCTGGCATGACACACCCAGGGTTCCAGGGCCACCATGGCATGCAGTGCGGAGGATCAAACCCCGGTCCTTGTGCTTGCCAGGCAGGCACTTAGACCTCCAAGCTATCTCCCCAACTCCTATAATACTATTTTTTAAATTTTAAATGTTCACTGTAATTTACAGTATCAGTTCCTACCTTCATACGTTGTAAACAAGTGTAGTTCTTGAGGTCTATTTAATACAACACTTTTTGCTCCTTTGTGAATTCACTGGTGGTTTTACTGTTGGGAATGGTCCCGAGTTCAGCCTGGACTGCTGTCTGGTAGCTCTAGGTCGAACAAGGACGTGATGAAACCTCACAGAGGAGATACGTGTTGGAGGTATGTGCGCCGCAGAGACTGCAGTGCTGCTGTTCCGTGTCAGTGCGCTGTCGTGCGTGTCATATACAACTGCCTCGAGATAGAAACACAGGGAGCAAGGCTGTGTGTTCAGGCATGTGAACAGAGGCTCAGGACAAAAACAAAAAAAAACAAAATTTGTTTGTGGACGGTGGGGGGCCCGCCCCTTAGCTCAGTTCTTTAAGTGGCTGCTTCAACAAAGCAGTCAGGCTCAGGCTGCTGTGGTTAGATCCCCACAACTCAAGCCAGCCAAACCTGCCCTGAAGGCATTCAGAGCCAAAAAAAAAAAATCCTTCTGTTTGTGGAGATAGGGTCTGAAAATTTTTTAAAGTAACTAATCAAGTAGACTTAAAATTAAAAACAAAAACAACAAAAAAACTTCTGTTCTCAAAAGACATTGTTCATCTGACCAAAACACAAGCTCCAGCAGTAGCTGGGGTTTGATCCCAGTGTACCTTGTTGGCCCTGTCTCGGGGGCATGCTGAGTTGGAGACTAAGACTGGGTGTGATGGCGCACAACTGTAATCCTAGCACTTGGGAGGCTAAAAACAGGAGGATCACTGCGAGTCCAATCTCCGTAATGAGACCCTGAACCCTGTAAACAAAGATTTAACTAATTTTTTTTTTTTTTTTTGAGACAGGCTCTTACAGTATGGCGAAGGCTGAATGCAGCTTAAGGGAGAGGCCGGCTCTCTGTGGCCTGGCTGCTGCTCCTCCATTTGCTCTTGCTGCTCTGCTGCCCTCCGCCGCCATGAACGGCTGCCCTCTGCCGTGTGCCAGTCTGCCTGGAGCCAGCTGAGCACGGACTGAAGCCCCCAGTAACTATGAGCTAAGTAAACCTTGCCTTCCTTCCTTGTGAGTGTCGGGTATTTGTCCCAGCAAGGGGAAGAGTAACTGAGACGGATCTCTTCCTCTTCGTTTTGTCAGCATTTTGTCTTTCCAGTCACCGGTGCATCCTCTTGTCCTGGTGAGTGCTCTAACTTTCCTTTTCCTAATCTCAGTTCTAGTCCGATTGGCATCCTGAAGTCTTCCCAGTAGCCCTTCATTCAGCTTAAGCTTCCCTCCCGAGTTTACGGGAGTCCGCAGGGACCTATAAGACGGCTTCCTCGGGACAGGCTGAAAGCGTACTGCTCATCCAGCCTTGCACAGAGGCAGTCCTGCTGACCGACACTGCACCCAAGAGTGCCACAAGTGCCACAAGTTGGACAGAGATGAAGAGTGCAGGACCCCACATGTGGCACGAGAGAAGCTGAATTCGTAGAAACTGCGAGTGGAATGACCGCTGCTAGCTAAGCCAGGCAGGGAGAGGGAGCCTGACTGGTCAGAGGGTATAAGTTCTCAGGAAGAGACGAGGCAGCCCAGGGACGTAGCGCATGGCATGGAGACAGTGGTAGCAGTGTGGAGCAGGCCCTAAACGCGTGCTTGCATGTTCTCACCACAACTCAGCAACGCGCCACAGCACGATCTCTGTGAGCTGACGCATGGACTGAAACGGTTTGATTGCCGTGTGATTGTTTCGCAAAGTGTGTGGCACGAGGCATGCTGTACCCCATAAAAATACACAACTTTCCCTTCCAATTTCATTTCAAAGCTGAAAAAGTTCAATAAAGAAACAGATTTATAATTCTGTCAATGTTGGTTACAAAGTAAAAGCATATATCATAGTTTTGATGTCAAAATTTTTGACAAATTAAGTGTATAGGTGCGTGGTACTTCTTGAATGAGAAAATTGCTTGTTTTTGAAATGGATTTACTGTGTTGTTCAGGCTGGCCTTAAACTCGCCACAGAGCCCAGCTGGGCTTGAACTTGTGATTCTCCTGCCTCAGCCTCCCAAGTGCCAGGATAATAAGCATGCACCACCACACCCAGTTATTGATTTATTTACTTACTGTATTTACATTTATAGTATTAAAGATTGAGCTCTGATTTCACTGAGCTGCATTCCTGACCCTTTTTTATTCTTTTTTTTTTTTTTTTTTTTTGAGACAGTCTCTCAAAGTCACTAAGCTTCCGGGTTGAGCTCAATTTGTGATCCTCCTGCCTCAGCCTTACCAGAGGGCTGGTGTTTCAGGCAGGGACCTACACATGTAGCTGAGACCTTTTTAAAGTGAGCTAGGGGGCAGGAAATACTGACAAAGCAGCTCACTTTCAGCAGTCTGGGTTTTCCCAAACAATGACAAGACAGCCAGTCATTTTGAAATGGGCACTTTGAGTTCCTCTCTAGGCTCAGAAATGTAGGTCAGGGCCCTGCTGACAGGTAGCTCCAGGGGCCTCAGAGCTGCAGACCTGAAGCGCTCGTTGTCAGGCAGTGAGTGAGAGGAAACAGGTAGAGTCTACAATCACCCAGAACTTCAGGGTGGACGGGGATCCCGGGATCCCCAGGAATGGTGGCTTCCTCTTCTAAGCCCTCAGGGCCGTGTGTGAGACGGTAGTGACAGATGGCAGCTGAGCCTGGAGCACTGCTTGGTGTTACTGCTTTTGCGTCTGCCTCTCGGATCAGGTGAGTAGCTGACTTCTAACTAGGATTATCCGGCTGTGTTACCCCGCATCTGCAAAGAGAAGATCTTGTTGCCCCAAGCTGTGAGAAGGACATCTGCACTCCCACACCGCGCAGATGCTGTTCCTGAGCGTGTTGCCGGGTATTTGTGCTGCTGTTGTACAGGTATTGGGAGCTGCGGGCTGTGTCGGGCTCTGCGATGTGGACAACTCGAGGTTTACTAAACAGACAGAATCACAGTGAGGTGAAGAGTGCGAAGTGCCAAGGAACTGAGCTATCTAGTCAGATAAGTGTCTGCTGAACTGAGCCACGCGACCCGGCTACAAACCAGTCCCAGGACCGCTGGCATTTGTGCACAGTTCTTTGTCCTGGTCATAGTACATTTGCCTTTGTCTCTCTTTGTATATCCTTCTTCTCTGGGACTTCTGAGAAGTTTGGCTTTTGCCAGGTTTTGCTCATGAAAAGCTGGTATTTTCAGAACATGTTGATGCATAACTCTGGTCAGGGAAAGAATTCCTCAGCAGAAGTTAGAGCAGAAGGGGGTGTGGGCTGAGAAGAGAGCCCAAGGGAGGAGGGCTGCAGTGGGACAGGGGGCAGACGTCCAGCTGGGGGTGCCAGGGGTCTCTGCAGGCATGAAGTTCCCTCTTCTGCCGTGCCACGTCTGCTCCTTAGTAGCTCCCCTCACAGGCCGGTGACCTTTCCCAGCCCAGCCCGCTCCCTTCCTCCCTTCTTCCCACCTTCCTAACCAAATGTTCCCATCAATGCCAGTGATTGTTAGGAGAAGCATAAGGCCTTTTATTACTACATGAAAGCATTACGCTGTAAATGTTTTTGCAATCTTTTTCCAGAAAGAAAGGGCTCTTTCCTGTTTCCAGGCATGAATCAGGTGACGATTCAGTTGGAGGCCTTAATAACCCTTTATATTCTCTTCTACTGGTGTCATGCAGGTAGAGTATTTTACAACAAATGTGATATTGAGGGGTTATGATTTTCAAGGCATTATGCTAGGACTGCTGAAGGATATAAAAATATTCAATTGGAAAAGTATGTGTACATAAGTATTACGAGACAGCCCAGTGTGGTGGTGCGTGCCTGGACCCCAGCACTCAGGAGGCTGAGGCAGGAGAAACACTGAAGGTTCAGAATCATCCTGGGCTACATAGTAAGTTCAAAGCCAGCCTGAACTGCATAGTGAGATGCTGTCTCAATCCCATACACACACACGCACACACGCACACACATTTGCATGAGACGAACTGACACTGCCCCAGACTGCTTGCAAGTGCAGGGCTTCTTTCTCAGACGTGCCTGGTGGACAGAGGGGGAATATTCATTGCTGAAGTTGGCATTTTTCTTTGGAGCTACTACAACTGCTCCAAAGGCCTAAACTTCACTCAACCCATGATGCACATGCTCACGGTGGCCACGCCAGCTCCGTGTTGCCTGTCTGTGATCCCTGTCACCTCCTCAGGGCCCCAAGGTGCTGTGACAATTCCTGTCCAATGTCGGCCACACACACACACCACAGTCCCATGTGGCAGGCACAGTGGCTTTGAGGAGCCCAGCCTGGGCACCAAGGGCCTCGTCAGCAGCTGAGGCAGGAGCAGCGGGCTAGTCGTTACTGTTGAGCTGCGCTGGGGGACTTCTGCAGGGCGCTCCAGGCCCTGGGCAGGGGCAAGGATCCAGGTCCTGGGAGAGAAACCACATTGGGACCGCAGTGTAGACCTGGGGTGAGGTTTCACAGAGTGACACAGAAGACCTTGGCAACAGTCTGGGGGCCCAGGGTGTCAGTGCTGTCCCCTTTGCCCCATCCTCAGACTCAGGCCGCCTCCTGGGTAATTTGGGGCCTCCCAGAGCCAGGTGACAGCCATCCCTGGAGCCACAGGGGAAGGCCACTCTTCCTTTGCTTCCTAAATGAGGCAGCCTGGGCAGGACTCATTCGCACACTCAAGCGGTCTGCCCCGGGGCACGGGGTGGGGCCACCTGGGGCCAGGGGATGACCTATAGAGTGCTCAGTGGTGTTGTTCTTGTCATCCAAGCTACATTTTTTCAGGCTTTCTACTGTGATGTTACTCGCTTTTTCAGCAGCTTTTCAGAAATGCACTTAGCATTTCTCTAAACCATCTAATAACCACATTAAAAGGGAAATTAACATTTTTGGATGACTTTGTCTCCTTTCCTTTGGAGACTTCCGTTGATCATGGCTTTTTTTTTTTTTTTTTTTTTTTTTTTGCCACTTTCTGAAAGAATATCGATTTAATTTACTCCTGAATGCTGTGGTCCAGTGTTTTTGGGTTCTTTCTTTTATTGTTGAAAACCAAGGCATTAGATGAAATCCAGCCTACTACTACTATCGATTTTTCTAGATATTCTCAAGAGTTCCATGGTAACATTTGTATATATCAAGAGATGGGATTTGTCTAAACCTGAATTGTTGAATTCATTTAAAGTATTTAGGTATTTTCTTAAATCTTCCTTTTTTAATGTTTTTGATTGAAATCCCCTATTGATGGTGATGGGATTATTTTATTATTACTTCAACATTTCAGTATTTATAATGCATATAGAAATATTCATTCCACAAATGGAAGTAGTCAGTTGCATTTATATTATGTAACAAGTAGATCTCTTAAGCATTCATATCACATTTATAAATATATTTTAATACAAATATTTCTTGAAAATGACTGTAATAAATTTCACAGAATTTCTTGTATGAATTTAATTTTTTATTATTGAATTGCATAATCATTTGAGCTTCAAAATGTGATTTTTTTTTTTAAACTAGTGATTAAACGCAGGGCTTCATTCATTCTGGGCAAAGGGTGTGCCAGTGATCTATATTCCCAGCCCAGTGACTTTGTATTAATTTTTATTTACAAAGTAATACATCTATTTAAAAATGGAATTCAATCCCCAGCATGCCGTGCTGGCCCCGCCCCAGGGGCGCACTGAGCCGATGAATCGGCTGGGCGTGGTGACGTGCACCTGTAATCCCAGCACCTAGAAGGCTGCAAACAGGAGGATCACTATGAGTCTGAACTGTGTAGTGAGACCCTGTAGACCCTGTGCTAAATACGTTTAAAAAAAAAAAGAAAAAGAAAAATGGGGGCATGCACAATTGGAAAATGAAAAATTAACAGATTTTCTTTAATAGCATAATATTTTCCCCTTCAGTTCACCCACTTATTTCTTTCCAGCGCTGAGCCCATATTAAATATACTTTTTGCAATTTGCTTTTCAATTTAATATATGCTGTGAAAATTTTCTACACTGTCAACTTGATGAATTTTACATGGTGATAAAGCACTAGATTTTTGTCATTTGTATGCATATTATTTTGTTTATTATAGTCACAAGTGTGTGAGAAAAGCAGATTGTATCTTCAAAAACAAAGAAAGAACCAGCGGTTGGTGGAGTTTCTTACAAGTAGGGTTTGGGTTCCCCAGTGCTCAGTATTCTTTCTGATCTTATCTTTGAAGTGCGCTTAGCTTTCTAGTGCCTCGGCTCTCCACGTTGAAGTAGGAGAGTTCGCTCCTTTTGCTTTTTAGGCAGGGAAAGATAGAAAGCTGGCTTCTCGCCGGTCACGTCGCTGAGCATGATGAAAGCACGCTAACGATACATAGTTACAATTCCGTTCAGTAGAAATCTCTTACTATAAAAAAAATTTAAATGCAATGGTATCTGTTGTAATATTTTCCACTGACTTTGTTTGTTTTCAGGAATTACCAGTATAAAGTGCTCCGGCAACCTCTGGGTAGAACCAGCCACGGTTTTTAAAATGGGCATGAACATCTCTGTATATTGCCAAGTAGCTGGTATGAAGTGCCAACCAAGACACCTTTATTTATATAAAAATGACCTAAAAGAAAGATTTCACATGTCCAAGATGAACAGAACCACAGCTCGACACTGGTTCAGGAACTTTCTGGAGCCGCGGGCCTCGGTGTACTGTACTGCGCAGTGTCCTGGTCGTTCGCAGGAGACGCTGGTGTGCGGACAGGACATCTCTTCAGGATGTAAGTACTGGGTGGGGCAGGACACTTCCAAAGTGAGGGAGAGCTGGTCCCCACGCTGCCAGCCGCCTTACCTGGTGGAGCCCACTGACATAGCCGTCTGGTTTCCTGCGGGAGCTGCAGCCCCGCCAGGGAACTCTGAGGGATGGCTGGGGGCGTCTGGTGGGAGAAGCGTGCACATGCCAGCGCTGCAGCCAGCGTGCAGGGGCTCTTCCAAGGCAGCCAGAAATATGGAAGTTTAATGTGAACTTCAAATTTTTTTAAATATTCTGAATCCATTTCAGATGAACAAGATTTTATTACTAGCCTGGCCAAATAGGGCACAGGAAGCCAGCACTCTCAAATTAAAAATGTTCTTCTTTTCATCTTTTTTTTTCACTTATGTTTTGTGTTTATTTATTTTCCAAACTAATGTCATCCTCCTTGAAGCAGATTGCATTGGGAGACTTGATTTTGTTTTATTTTCAGACAGGGTCTCGCTCTGTAGTTCAGGCTGGCCTTGGAATCAGTATATGGCCTGGAGCTCAGGGTGATCCTCCTGCTTCAGCCTCCTGAGTGCTGGGATAACAGGCCTACACCCAGCTACTGAGAGATTTTGAAACCAAGATTCAGTGAAAGTTACAAAAGTAGCTTCATGTCCTTGCTGCACTCCCTTTTGCTAGTTGGGTAACTCTGGGCAGCTTGTTAACCCATCAGAGCCTCAGTCACCTGTCTGTTGAATGCACACTGTACATGATTGTGTTGGGTACTGAGCCTCAAAATTTTTTTAAATACATGTTACAAACTGTAAGCACATCAATACCTAAACCCTCAAAAATGCATCCTTTTGACAAAATGCAGGAAGCTTCTCATGCCATCCTTTACTCAAAATCCTGGAGTCCATTGAGATTACTATTGGTTATTGCAATTATTTAGGAAAAGTTCATTCAGCTGAGCTATGTGGTAAGTTGTCGCGTGCTCATGGTATTCTGCAAGGCTGAAGGTCCTGTCGTCACACGAGCTGGCCATGTAATCACGTATATAGCTAGATCTCAGCTCTACTGTAAAGGACGGATTGGTTTGTTGAACACTATTTTCATTAAGAGATCTGTTCTCCACAGCACCTAGGCCCATCTTCAGCACACAGAGGACTTGGCGTCTGTGCCAGGCTCCCTTCCTCCATTGTTTGGTTTTTTTTTGAGACAAGATGGCCTAGAACCCCAGGGGTGCTCCTGCCTCAGCCACATGTGCTGGGACAAAGGCATGTACTGCCACGCCTGGCCCCCCACGCTGTTGAGAACCCAGCCTGAGTTCTTACTTCCTCCTCGCCTCCAGCGTAGCTAGGAGACAGGCCAGGGACCCTGCGCCAGTGCATATGCTGCTGCCCAGGAGGTCTCTGTCCTACCTGATTCTGTGCCTTCCAATGAGAGAATTTAGGGCTGAGGGGCAAGCAGAAGGTCCTGAGTTCGATTCCCAGTATGAAAAAAGAGAACGAGAGAGAGAATTTAGAGAAAGTATAGGTCAGGGCATCAGAGTGACCTCGGTGGACTTCTTTAATGCCTTCACCTTGCCCTACATTGTAGAGTCCAACCGCAGGCTGGCTTCTTATCTGATGTACTGACTCCCTCGCCTGTCCACATCCTGAGGAAGCAGGGCCCACTCTCTGTGCTAGAACAGCTTCGCACCTGTCCTTCTGGGTGCAGGGAGGGAGGAGAGGCTGCAGGCAACTGTGTAGGACAAATAGGTAGCTTCCCGAGTTACTGGCAGAGGTCAGTTGTTCATTGAGCCAGAGAAATAAAAGGATGTGAAATAGATAATCCCCTCCTTCAAAAGTCAGTATTTCAACACATTTTGGTTTGGGGTCAGATTGGTTTTCGTCAGGCCGGGGTGGCGTCTCATTACCCAGATGCTTGGCTTGTGAACGCGAGCTGCGTGTCATTGTGTGGCATGCTTCAGTGCTTCCCCAGCTCAGCGTAGCCATCCATTTCGGTGAAGTGGGAGTAAGGAAACAGAAAAATTAAGACTTAGGGGAGAGTGTGGTGGTCGGTTCCCTCACATTACTTCCAGTCACCATCCCGCTACTTCCTGCTACCATCGTGCTGTTTTGGGGACTTTCGTCACCCGGAGTCGGGGTGATGGGCCGTTCACACTGGGTGTTGGGCACCTTCTGTCTTTAGAAAGAACTGGACTGCGGGGGATTGGACCTGTTTCCTGAGCGTGTCAGGCTGGTTATGTGGCACTTGACAGGAGTCACTCCACTTTGCAGTGGTCTCCTGGGGGACAGGGCAGGTGCTCCCTCCTGAACGGTACCCTCCCACAAATTCTACTGAAGCCCTCCTTCCCTGTGAGGAGTCTGTGATCTCGTTGCTCCGAACAGCCCTCGCGCTGTGGCCCACAGGCTGCTGCCCTGGAGCATGAGACCAGGCGGAGTTCGGGTCAGAGGGACCCTTCCCAGAACAGCCTCAGGGGAGCACTTTCGCTTCCCTCTGGTGGTGGCCCAGGAAGAGTCCCTGCTCTCCACTGGGGGATCTGGGGGCCTGCAGCTCCTCACCCAGAGCTCTGGCTGTGAGTACAGGTGCTAACCGCAGCGAGAGTCTCAGACCCCCGGGTTCCAGCTGAATGTGCTCTCGGGCTCTCTTCGCTTAGCCAACAAAACCTCTTATTTAAATGGGTCAGAAAAGGGTTTTTGAGGCATTCTAGAAATCACGTTGCTTTCACTGAGCCCCTTTGATGTCAGGATATGCGTCCTGTGCGCCTCAGCAGATCGTTTACCACCCACCACTGTTTTGGACAGAAGGATTCTAGGCCCTTCTGTAGACTGGAGGGAAATCGTGAAAGACAGAAAGTGAGTGAGTCATTCCTCTCCCTGAGAAGCTATCCACGCGTCTGTGCATTTCTCTACTCTGACACATAATCTGTGAAATGCAGACTCTTACAATTTCCATTTTAAGCCGTGATCTTAAACAACTCTTAGATTCTTATCTGCGATGAAATACACATATATTACAGGAAATTTATTCTAACAGGAGTCACATGAATCGTGGAATTAAAATACTTCAAGATTCTTATTTGTTTAAAATTCCAATTAAAATAAACCATAGGCAGTCATGTTTTCACTTAATCATTTATTTAAAGTTTTAAGCAACATTGACTTAGAATTTAACCATGTTTTACCTTCATTTATAGTGATTAAAGCAGATTTTTTTAATCCAGTAAAACCCCAGAGTACTTATCATTACCATTGCTGTTAAGTGTCTGTCATCACCGTGTAACTGGGCTGCCTGAGTCCTCTCTGTGAAAGGAGTTTCAGTGCGGTCTCTGCCAAAACGTGGCGCCTGCCTTCATTACTGCGGAGGGGTTTTGCTTGTATTATTGTTCTTCTTCTTATTATTATTATTATTATTATTATTACTACTACTTCGGTTTTTTGAGACGGGGTCTCACTGTGTAGCCCAGGCTGCCCTCAGGCTCCCAGAGGCCTCCCCACCTCGGCCTCCCAAGTTTGCAGGCATGAACACCACGCCTGGCAGTGTGCCTGTGTCCGTGCTGCTCGGGTCCTCTTGTTAATCAAGTTACACAGTCCACAGCATGAGCTCCATGGAGGGCTCCTGTGCCTCTGAAGTGTGCTTAACGCCAGGACAGCAAAGAAGGAAGAAGCACCAGCTTTGCTCTTAAGAAGCTTTGGTAGCAGCTGGCCCTCCGCTGTGCTGAATTAGCAAGGGTCCTGTGGTCAGCAGGGGCTCCAAGCGTAGAAGGCAGGACTTGGGGGAAGGGCGCAGATAGGCCCTCCCTGCGTGTTCAGGGTGTCAGTAGGCTCTGGGTTGCAGCCGGGTTAGCTCTTGATTGCTGAGTGACTCCGCGGAGGGATCTGCTGGGAGGACGCTGCCCTCAGAGCCATGCTCACCGCTCTTGTGATGCTTCTTGCTAACAGAAAATACCAGCTGCTCTGCATACGTGTCGAATTCTTCTTTGTTGTTTGCAAAGTTAATTCACCACCCCGCATTAGTAATCCTGATGGGCCAAGGAGATGGCTCAGAGGGCCGGGGAGATGGCTCAGTAGAATAACCGCTTCCCTGGCAAGTGCAAGGCCCTGAGTTCAATCCCTGGTTCCACCAAAATAAATAAATAAATACAGTTTTTTTTTTAAATCCTGAGCATTCGCTGAATATAGAATGCTGCAGTAATGGAACCGAGAAGATAGACATGTGTCTCTTATACTTACCAGCTCAGCAATGCTGAGGAAATATTTCCCCCAGGAAAAAATTAATTCAGCACAAATTACTGCAATAAGTAAAAGATAAGCTTGTAATCAATGTCCAAAATGATCTAAATTTGTGTTTCTGACTGAGTGTAATAGCCATTCCTGCAATTCCAGCATTCGGAGAGGCTGAGGCCGGAGGATTGCAAGTTAGAGCCCAGCCTGGCCAACTTAGTGACTTAAAGAGACTCTGTCTTATAATAAAAATTAAACAAGGACCAGTGATATAGCTCAGTGCAAAGGCCCCAGTTCAATCCCCAATACTGAAAAAATAATGCAATGGTGCTAGGGAAATAGCTCAGCGGTCTGAGTGCCTGCCTGGCAAGCACAAGCACTGGGTTTGATCCCTGGTACCCCATACCATGCCAGCCCCAGAACCCGGGCACACCGTGTCAGCCTCCGGGACCAGATGTGGTAGCACATGCTTGTAATCCCAGTGCTGGGGAGGCTGACGGCAGGAGGACCACCGAGAATCTGAGCTGCATACTGAAGCCCTGTAACGACTAAATACATTTAAAAAAAATGTGTTTCCGTGCTTGGGTCCTGCAGGGTTCTGGAGAAGGTTGGAGGTCTGGTTCCTGCCGCTTCCAGACCTGTTTCTCCTCACTGTACCTCAATGCTGCAAATCACCACATTGCTTCCAAGAACTCTCATGTTCTCCTGCAGTCCAAAATAGTTTTTAATTATAAAGTAAATTGGATTCAATATGGAAAGTTTTAGAAAAAATATGGGCTGGGCATGGTGGTGCATGTCTGTTGTCCTAGCACTTGTGAGGCTGAGGCAGCAGGGTTGCTGGGAGCGCCAGGCCAGCCTGGGCTACAAAGTGAGCTCAAGGCCAGCATGAACTGCATAGTGAGATCCTGTCTCAAAAAGACCAAAAAATAAAAAATTTAAACAGACCAAAAAAACTAATCTCCATAATCCCATAATTTTACCAATGACATATTTTCTCCATAATAATTGAAATATATCTTTCAAATCTCTCTCTGCCACTAAACTATTTTGAAACATTTTTTACTTAATGTATTTCTAGTGCTTTTCAAAAACCAGGCCCTTGCACCTTCGTCTATAGTATCTCTGATGTGTTTCAAGCCCGCGTTATCATTTGCCCCATCCTGAGGTGGCTTCCACCCCGTTGCATGTGCTTTACCCACTATTTTTACATATCTGTGCCAATCTCACTGAGGACAGTGCGCAGATGGAGCACTGCCAGGATGCAAGAATGCCGGCTCCCTGAAGTACCTGCGACACCCAGAGCAGCCTCGGTCGGGGTCCCCATCTGGTCCCACAAGAGCGGGGGGTGGGTGGGGTGGGGTGACTCTGCCGGCCCCTTTCTGGCACTGGGCACCCCTGGTCTCAAAACCCTTGCCCGTGTGATGAGCTGAATAACACTGCTATGGTTCTGATCTGCCATGAGGATAATTTTTCATAAGTTTTTTGTTGCTTTACAAATAATATTTTCAGTAGGTGATTTCCAGGCAAGAGGTAAGGCCACATCTGTGCCTGAGATAGGTCTGGGGTGTGCGGTCAGGTGCACAGAGGTCTGTGTCTCTGCTCTTTGCTCTTGCTGCTTGCTCCCCAAGTGTCTGGCAGCTCTGTGTCGCATGGTGGGGACAAGCAGGCAGGGCCACACTCGGATGTGGGGGTACAGCAAGGTCAGAGTGCGGTGCTTCTTCCTAAGTCCCTGTCCACGCTGCTCACCATGCATGACAGCTGGGGACCCAAACACTGCCACATTGGTGGGGCCGAGGGTGTGAGTAGTGTCCCCAGACACTCCCCTCTCTCCTCCCCTTGGGCTCCCCCTTGTGGTATTGGCTTCATTCTTTTGTTGTTGCTTTGTCTTTTGTTTCCATGCCCTTGAGACAGGGTCTTGTAGTTCAGGCTCTACCACAGCAGGCTGCAGAAGAAGAGCTGGAGGTGCAAGGGCCAGAGCTGTGCAGGAGAGAGGCAGACTCTTTTGGTCCAGGTCAGTGACGACCAAACCTCTTAAGAAGCCCTTTAGATGTGGCAGAGGTGGTGGTAAGACACGGGGAACTGGAACACCGCATCGTGAGCACAGCGAGAGGTTCAGCCTGGACACCTCAGGACCTACGAGCTGAACCTCTCCCCAGGAGGTGGCTCCTCTAGGTCCTTGCTCTAGGAGGAAGCTGGTGGATTTGTTCCTGTGTGTGTGCAATTTATCCCTGAGCTGATCTTCCCTTCCCACCCAGGCGGGAGCCAGCGTGTAGCTTTGCTCCTCTTAGGCCAAGCCACAGTGTTCCCACGTGACTTTCACACTATGCGGGCCGGGTGCAAGGAGGAGAGCTGACCGGGTGGCTGGGAAGAAGGCTCACTCCCTGTTGCTCGGTCCAGTGAAAGCAGATAGACTGGGGTCCGTGGTCAAGGTCAAGGAAGAGTCAAGATCAGGAGGGACTGACCAGATGAAGTAGAGTTTGTAACTAGAGTAATGCTGATTCCTTAACAACAGGGTGGACCAAGATAAGAGCCTGGAGGCCAAGGAGAAAGAACTGAGAGGAGACTTGGTGGAGGCTCTCCCCATGACAGTACCCATAGTGGTGGAGAGGTTGCTGTGGGAATGCCAGCAGCCCTGTGGGATGACAGGTGGACTCAGGGCAGGTGGCTGACATGGAGGAACTGAGCTGTCGTGGTCAGGCTGCTCTCTGTGGCTCCTCAGGGTGCTCTGTTCACTTGCAGATCCACCAGACA